CAGATGTGAGGTAGGATATCAGTGTAGTTTTTTTAAAATATATTTTATTGATTTTTTTACAGAGAGGAAGGGAGAGGAATAGAGAGTTAGGAACATCAATGAGAGAGAAACATCGATCAGCTGCCTCCTGCACACCCCCTAGTGGGGATGTGCCCACAACCAAAGTACATGCCCTTGACTGGAATCAAACCTGGGACCCTTCAGTCTGCAGGCCAATGCTCTATCCACTGAGCCAAACCAGTTATGGCTATATCAATGTAGTTTTGATTTGTATTTCCCTAATATCTAGTGAAGTTGAGCATCTTTTCCTTCGATAGATGATTGGATAAAGAAGACGTACATATATACAGTGGAATACTACTCAGTCACCAGAAAAGATCAAATACTGCCATTTGTGACATCATGAATGCTAAGGGAAATAAGTTAGACAGAAAAAGTTAAAGACCATATGATTTCACTCATATGTAGGATATAAAACTAAAAGCAATAAATGAATAAATAAGATAAACAAAAACTCATAAACACAGACAACAGTATGGTAGTTACCAGAGGGAAGGTAGTGGAGGATAGTAAAGGATGAAGGGGTCAAATGTATGGTGGCGGAAGATGATTTGACTTTGGGTGGTTGGCACACAATGCAATATACAGATGATGTACCATAAATATTTACACGTGAAACCTTCTTGTTAACTAATGTCACTCTAACAAATTTAATTTAAAAAGGCGTGGCATCATCTGATTTATTAAAATAAACAAAAAAACCTTGATATTCACAATGGGGGATTAATCAAAAGGAATAAGAAAGCAAGCAGGAGAAACAACAGGAGGCTGTTGCTGAGATCCATGTGAGAAATGTTGCACCCCAAACAAGGAAATGAGGATAAACTATTGGCTATTTCTACCACTATTCCTAAAAAACAGGGTCACCTGATCAGCTTAATGTCATGATCATTATAATATGCTCAGTAAGTAAAGTCCTATACAAAATTTAAATTCACTAGGCTCATGTACCTAATGATAATATCTCTCACTGACATAGGATTAATTCTTCTCTACCTGATTTATGTTGAACAAGTGAGTTTCTGATTAATTCCTAAATTAAAACTTTTACTCTTCCAGAGTGTTAACTCAAAGGTATTAATATTCTTAATTACTGCAAATTTGCATTACTGTCTGTAAGTTTTCAAATTGGCATTTTGATTTATACATAAGCTTTTGATAAGATGGCTAGAATGACCCAATGCTACTGAATCTAATCAACTCTCAGTAAACTATTACTAACCCCACATTGCACTGACCTCAAACAAGTAAATAAGTCCTCTATAAATAGCAAGTAATTTTAGCAATATATACAAAATATTGTATGTTTAAGATCATTGGTAGTAACAATTGAGCATATGAAAATGACTTTATCATTACATTGAAATTGATTTACTTTTCTGTAGTTTAGGTAATATGCATATTTTTAAAATTGACTTTAGAGAGAGAGAGAGGAATGGAGGGAGGCGAGAGAGAGAGATTTGTTGTTCCACTTATTAATGCTGATTATAGTATGTGCCCTGACTGGGGATCAACTCACAACACCTTGGCATATTGGGACAATGCTGTAACCAACTGAGTTACCAAGCCAGGGAATATGTATATATTTTTGAGACAATAGTGGAAATATACTATTAGAGATAGCTTTATGGTAGTGGACATAATACTACACAATAATTCGGAAGCGCCGAAGTCAAGTTTGATATCTTCAACTTGCTGAATACAAGGGGTTGTAATTATCACTTAACTGCTTTGTGCTACAATTACTTCTTCTGTAAAAGGAGAGCATTAAATATGATGAAAATTAATATCCAAGTCAGCCCTGAAGTCCCACATCTTGTAAAATGTGAAATATAATCCAATAGTACAAGAAAGAAATAATAAAGGACACAAAGAGAAGAGCAGAGATTTGGTCATATCAGAATCCAGCTTAACTTGACATGAATGAACTAGTCAGTTAGTCATCATCCATAGAATAGTCTTTTCCCCCAAAACACATTCATTCACCTACTGGTACAATCAGGACTATTATTCTCAAAAGAGTAAAATTTACAAGAATAGATACCACAAATATGCATATGCATGAAATTTCATTTCTACCTTACATGATAGGTGCTATGCTAAATAATGGCCACTATCCTCATTGTAGTGAAATAGCTAATCACAAGTAATTTGAAGAAAATAATCATGGTGCTCTGAAAAATGAGTAACATGGGGATTCCAGTTACTTTTTTATATTTATATCTAAGAAACTGATTGACTAGATATATCTTAACTTGATAAAGTATAATATTCCTATGCTTTCATTTTAATGAGAAATAACTGAAATCATCCTGCCTGCTAAGTTATCATATAACTTACTAGTAACTATCCAGGTAAATGTAAACATAGACTTTTAAATATCATATCATCCATACATTTGTTTACTTAAATAAACATTCATTGATTGGTTGTCTTCTTTGGGCCAGAGGATGAATCTCAGAGGTCATTTAATTCAATTCTTTCAATAAATACCTATTTTAAAGATATACTAAGTAAAAATATTTTTAAAAGTAGATCTGCCAGGGTTCTTGTCCCAGCATCAAGAAGGGTTCAGGAATCTGGAGAAGGGGCTGTGCGTAGATGACATAAAAATCCAGAGAATAATAAAGAGTCCAGAGTGAAATATAATTTTGAAAGGCATTGGGGGTCAGAGGAGCTTAGCTAAAGGAGCTAAGTTCCAAGATCTTAAGTCTAAGGTCTTAGGTTCTCTCCGTCCCCAGGACCCCATGCTTTTCATTAACACAACTTGTCCTGAGGCAAGGCAGAGATATACACTTCAAAGGGTCAGGGTTTGGTACAGAGTCCATTGTCAGAATGGGGGAATTAGCCTACGGCTGTTCAGATGTTTGGCCAGTAGGAGACAATAACATGTAGATTAAGATGCCCTTTAACTGTCTGGCAGCCACAATCAGTTTCCTATTCAGGTTTGGGGAAATGCCTTTAGCCATTCCCAACAGGTGTGACTCAACCTTGTTGAGTCCCCAAGTCTCATCAACCTTTTGATGAAACTCTTGAAATTATGACATGCTGGAATTGGTCTCCGGCAAGATCACTTTTCCAAAAATGCCCAGTTACTTAGTGGTGAAACAAGGCAAGGAATCTAAGCCTTCTTGAAATAGGGTAAGTTTCACTTTTATTTTATTATTATCATCTGTGTTTTTTAAAACAATTAATGCTATTCAAAGAATGGCCAACTAAAAAGCATTTGTATTTCATGAGTTTTCAAAAGGCTCACTGAAAAACTGAGTTAACTAAAATTGTATGAACTTTCTCAAGATGCAAATATTCATGGGCAGAATCAATGATATTACTTATGGGCTTCTGGAAGTTTGTGATTTAAATAAGAAAACAAAGATGTGAAAAGATGTCTGCTAAAGAGTAAAGAGAAGAGATTTTTTTTCATTGTCCTCATTGAAGAGGGTTGAAAGGTAATAACTTTTACTCTTCCAGTTAAATAGATTTACAGGATACTTGATGTGTTAATTGCTGTTGGAATCTAATTAAAAGGAAAATCGATAAAGAGTAAAAAGGCATGTAGTTTATTTATTGAGAAAGTTATGAGATTAAAATAGGGCTTTCAGAATATATTTGCAGGGGTTTGGGGCAAAAGTTAAGATTGAAGAGGTGAGTGAACATTTTGATCCTTGTTGATAGTAATAAAAGCCACTGTAAAGATCTAACAATAGATTTGAATTTTTTAATATTCCATTATTTTGAGATACACACACACACAATTTTCCTTTTCAGTCTTCCAATCCACATCCCCATGTAAACGGTCAAGATGGCAGGGGCGTGGGGAGAGAGAGAGCAGATAGAGAGATGGATGACCGAAGAGGTATAACAAATGAATTAGCTATCCTTCTTACTTGAACTTACTGTTAAGTTAATGAAAATATGTAAGAAGAAATGGTGGGTAGCTTGTGCCTCTAAGTAGCCATCTCTTTAGATTTCCCGCCTTCATCTTTTTAGAACCCTTATTATGAGTGAAGGAAACTCAACACACTCTAGTCAATAATGCTTCCTGGCCAGAAGCTGGATTATGAGAGGATTCTAGAAGCAGTGTGTTCTCCTGTCCGCTGCTGCCCATGCACCACATTCTCTGCTCTTCCTTAGTCCTTTCCATGGGCTTAAAGCTTACTCTTACATCTCCGTGTGAGGTCAAAGACATGGGGTCACGGTTACTAAATTGTACCTTTTCTCGGAAGTGAACAATGGATGGCCCCTCCAAAGCGACTCTGCTAACTAACCCACAAAAGCCCCTGATTCTCCCAGGCTTAGCCCTGAAGCTTCCTTCCCCCAACACACTCCGGTCGCCCTCTAGGCTCTGCATCAGTTACTCGCTGCTTTTTAAAAAAGGGTGAAGTGCTAAGCACCGCCTACCACCATGAGTGGCCTGTCACTCTGTCCCGCTGTGCGGTTGTGATTTGCGGGCAAGACAGTGTCGTCTGGCCCCGCCCCGCTTCCCTTTGCCGCGCTAGCGGTTTTGGGTCTTACCCAAAGGTGGAGAGTGGGATTTGGGCCGGCGGCGCTTGGAGCAGGTGAAGAAGCATTTTCATTCCGGCTGTGGCTGCTGTTCTTTCTTCAAACGTGGGTCTGAGTCAGGAAAGGACAAGCGTTCTTTCTTTTGCCGCTAGAGCTCCAGTGAACTGTTGCCCAGAACCTAGGCACTTCATACATTTCATCTCACCCATTATTCCGCGTTCACTGTGTAAATCACCTGCACATTTGTAACCCCGTGAATGCCCCTCTGCTCAGTGCTCAGAGAAGGGTAGAAAGCGAATTTCAAAGGTTTGAAAGGCAGACAGGGCCTCCGCCGACCGCGGGGAGCTGTCTATGGTGCTGAAGCTTTCCAAGCGTTTGTCTCCACCACTACACGGAGTTAGATCGCATATTTTCATTCCAGGCTTTCTCGTTCCCCCATGCCTTGGATAAGACTAATTTCAGGATCGTGAATATCTCTCCGTATCATGGCCCACGTGAGACACTTTCGGACATTAGTTTCGGGATTTTATTTCTGGGAAGCAGCACTGTTACTCAGGTGAGTCTATTTGTATTTAACAGTTGGAGAACTTATTTAAAAAGCCTGTGTACTAGAATGCAACCACCTGTTATTGATGAGAGCAAGAATGCAATTAGAAATTGACTTGTTGAGAGCACCCCTTAAATCGTATTATTTTATGTCTAAAGTGCTTAGCAGTCTATCTATTGAGACCTCTGAAAACATGTAACTTTGCTCTATTTTATGAAAATAATGCATTTCAGTAACTGTCGTCTTAGATTAGAGGCAACTGAGATTACCCTGGAAAAGTTATTTCCAAAGCCAAGCTTTTCGTTCTCAAATTGCTATTAGAGATTCTTTTTCTAAGTAAATTATAAGTTGTGGGTTACTCTCTTTTGGGGAGATAAAAACATTTACTAATTAGAAATGGAACATTACTAACTTTTTAAAAGGAAAACAATTAGAACATAAACATTTATTAACCAGAAAAAATCTGAACATTGTTGATATATCCAGAGATTAAGGTAAATGAATAAAAAATAAATGAAGAAGTGCTATTTCTAATGAGCTTAGTTCAGGTAATACATAAATAAATCATTAGATATGTTACATGTCAAGAGTAATCTTTTTGGAGAAAGTACTATAATAAAAAAACCCATAGAACAATAATATTGCTCTATGACATATCATTTTCTTATCATGTCCAGTCATATTTTTAGGCCTCATTTTTTTCTTTTTAATTAATTTAAAGAGGAAATGAGACTAGGCAAAAGATCAGATAATTTAACCACTATTTTTAAATGAACAATGTATAAGCAAGGTACTGCTCATATAGATTTTTGAACCATCAATATAAATTTCATTTTATTATAATTTCCATCTTATGGCTCACATGCTTTACAAGAGATTGAAATAAAATAATTAGAATAAGTTTTGTGTATACTGATTTCTATGGAAGTAGTAAATATTCTTTTCTGAGTTTCCACATCAAAATTTCACCTTTGGACACCTTAGAAAAACAATGTATTTCATAAAAGCTACCTTACAGAAAGTTATATTATTTTGTAAATCTATAATAATAGGGTCTAGTGTGAAGGTTATTATATTATGAAATTATTGACTTTTTCTTAAGGGGTTGAACCACTGTAAACCAGAATATTTTCAGTGAAAATATTTTAATAAGACTTAGTAAATTTTTAAACTTTCTAATTGTCACAAATTTTGTATGTAGTGATCAAAGCAAAGAGTATAGAGCTTTTTTACATTTATGGACATTTCATGGAAAGGAATTAATGTTATAAGAGAAATCATAATAGCTTAGTTAATAGATATTCAGATTTAGGAAGCTTAATGCCAGTAACTAAAGTATTTTGGTCAGTGTGGTCAGATTTGTATAATGGCAATTCACAATATTTGTTATAGTATATCCTTTTTTTGTTTTGTTATAATACATTCTTATTTATGTATTCTTCATCACTAGAATCTCTGATTTTTGTCATTTTATTGGAATTCACAAAAATTGTATTTCAAACTCATAATCATGATTATAAGAACTTATCTTCATTAATATTAAATACTTTTAGTTAAAAATGTTTTTATGAATACTCCAAAAATGTAATTTCTTGACAAAGACATACCCAATATAGTTTAATTGATATGTGTATTTTTCATCAAGTTTTTTTTCTCCTTTTATAAATTGAATAAGTTTTCCCTCTATCTTAAACTAGTCTTGAATGAGAGTAGCACTTTTTTATTCATTTTCCTTCATCATTCTATGAAGAATTTTAATAACACAAAATATTAAGTCTTTTTTATTTTCAGTGATGGCCCTCGAATGAACATTTTCTAAAATAAAGAAAGTGAAGCTCCCTCTACTGAAAATATTTTATAAAATAAATGTGTTTATGGAAACTATTCTTTGTTCACTAAGTCTATTTGTGATATACTGAGCAAAAAAACAACATGTAAACTTAAAAAAGTAACAAAAGTATTTAGTATTAATTCACAAAGATATCTTTTAAATTTAAAAATATTCTTTCCAGGGTGATTTGGAGGCAAAAATATCTAGAAACCATCAATTTTATAATTATACTAGGGGCCCAGTGCATGAATTCTTGCACCTTAAAAGGAACTATGGGCCGAGAGGCTGCAGTAGGCACAGGGGCAAGTCTCGGCCCATACTCCGTGCCCCCACCTGACCCCTCCCACTGCCCTCCCCCCCTCCCACCGCTGTCTGTAGGAAGCCCTGCTCCCGGTGGCACCGCTCCCATGCATTGATGGCACTGGCCCCGCTCAAACCCGCTGACAACACAGAGTGATTCGGGCCGGCACCAGCAGCAGGTGTGAGTAGAGGCTGCTACCCCAATCGGCCCTCAGGAGCAGGAGGAGGTGGAGAAGCCCTCAGGGGTGAACAGGGCCTATAGCCACCATTCACACCCACTGATGGCACTGAGTGATCGGGACTGGTGCCGGGCATGGGCAGTGGGTTCAAGCTTCGGCTCTGGTGTTGGCTGAGGGTGCGAGCAGGGCAGGTGCTGGCAGTGGGTGCAAGAGGCGGGTGGGACTGCGGCATGCGGGAGCAAAGAATTTTCAGTAACTATCAGAGGCTCGCCCCGATGAAAGCAACCAGTGCCCGCCTTGGTCTGGTGCCCCCACTCACCTGCTCCACCATCCCACTTCGGCCAATGCCCACCATGTTCTGTACATGCCCCCTGGTGATCAGCACACATCATAATGACCGGTTGTTCAGTTGTTCTAACATTTGATCTATTGGCATATTAGCCTTTTATTATATAGGATAATTTATGATTACAAACCTTTTTTCATAGGTTGTAAAAGGTTTTTAATTTTTTAATTGAGATATACATGCAGAAAAGTATACAAATGACAAGTTCCGTATGAGGTTTCACAAAAGCACAAAAGTAACACACTCATGCAAAGAGATTGAGATCAAGATGTAGCATTGCCAGTGTAACAAAAGTCCTCACCCTGCTCTCTGCCACCACGGTATTCTTTCCCAGGAACTGCTTTGCCAAAAGATAATCACTACCTTGACTTTTTCAACAATGAATATGTTTTCCCTGCTTTTGAACTTTATATAAATACTCATTTGTGTCTGCTTTATTTTTATGAGCATTGTGTTTATGTGATTTTCCATATAGTTGCATGTAGCAATAGTTTGTTTATTCTCATTTCTATATGGTATTCCATTATATGAAGACATCAAAATTTATTTGTTGTTTTATTATGGAATATTTAAGTATTTTTTAGGTTTTGGGTAATGCTGCGATGAACATCCTTGAACATATCTTTTTGTGAATACATTCATTTTGGGGACTGTATGGGTTGGGCCTAAGTCTTTCTCTAGAGCAAAAATTGTTGGATCAAGAGGTAGCTTAGTATATATACTGCTTGGTTTTAGCTTGAGTAGATACTGCAAGTTTTCCAAAGTAGTTGCACCTATTTATACTCCTGCCAGCAATGTTTGAGAGTTTTTGTTGCCATTACTACTACAAAATTTGATCAGTGCAATATTATTTTAAAAATGTTAGCATTTTCTTAGATTATTATTGTGAGCCCATAAATGATATTTTAGTTATTTTTATCTTGGCATAATTTCTACTTTTTAGTAAATAAGTTTTATTAAGGCAAAAGCATCAGAACAAAAATATTTTCTACTATAATACAACTAGAAGTATTTATTACCAGAATAAGTCTGGTATAAGAAATATAATTTTAAAGGGGAATTATTAAAAAGCATAGTTCTTGTAATAAAAATGTGAGAAGCCTGGTTGGTGTGGCTCAGTAGTTGAGTGTTGACCCATGAATCAGGAGGTCATGGTTCAATTTCCAGTCAGGGCACATGCCTGAGTTTTGGACTCAATTCCTAGTAGGGGTACGCAGGAGACAGCCAGTTGATGATTCTCTCTCATCATTGATGTTTCTATCTCTCTCTCCCTCTCCTTCCTCTCTCTGAAATGAATTGAAACATATTTTTAAAAATAAGTGAGAAAATTATGTAAACAGACATAAGAAATTTGAATGCTTTATTAGTGAAATTTTTAAAAGTTTCACACTTTGCTCAGATATTGCTTAATTTTGGCACAATTCTTTGGCTTTTGGGTTCTAGTTTTCATATTAATAAAATAAAGAACAAGACACCAGTGTTCGGCTTTCTTTTAAATGTAGATAAGTGAGATTATGAAGAGCTTGAGGAACAAATTTCAAAAATAGGGGAACTGCCAAAAATTTTTATTTAAATTAACTATTTTCACCACATACAATTTTGTTTTTCATTTTTACAATTGGATACCAACATAGACCTGCCAGATAAATAAATTATGGTACATTGTATCAAAAGCTGAATGTGTGAATGTCAAATTTCATGATAATCACAAATAAGATGTTTTCTCGGTTTACTTCAAAATTTAAGAAAAACATGTTTGGCACAGAATTTCTTGTTTTTGCTTTTGGTATGTTTTAGAAGATGGAGAAACCCCTTTTAGTGCTGGCTCTATTTTCTTATGTAAGATATTAAATAAAAATATACTTCAAGGAATAAACATTACAGTATCAGGATTCCATATAGGTTTTTAATATTATGCTACACATAATATATACTTTTTCCCATTGTGTCTCTGGTGAGACATTTTCCCAAATATAGAAGGATCGTGGCCCAGTTTTCTAGTCAATGCCTCAAGCAGTTTGCCCTGCAGATTCGGAAAACAGCTTATACAAGATTTCCTCTTGTACATACTTTTTCTTTCCCTTGACCACACAACTATGTACTGAGGCAACTCAATGAACAAATATGTGCATCATAGGTAATATTAAGCAATGGGTACAGTTTGCCTAGGAATGATTGAGAAACTACCATCTTTCCTGACATGAAACTTAGAGTCCAGTAGGGAAGAAAATACAAAGGGCCAAGTGACAAAAGAAAAACAAGGCAATGTTTAGGGAGTGTAGATCGGAAAGCTACCCAGAAGGCATGGTACTTGTGCTGGATCTTCTAAGATGCTTGCTCCACAAGCAGGAAT